ATTCCTGTGCCCCTCCCCCTAGCGCCAGGGCTGCTGGGGCCAGGGGGGCCTCGTTCCCCATCCAAACTGGGCACATGCAGCACCACGTGTCCCAAGCTGGGTGTGAAAATGCTTCTCCCAGCCCAGAGCATCCCCTGCTGCACCCTGCCCGCGGTGGCAGCCATCCCCTCCCAGGGCTGGGGGCTCAGGGCACGGGGAGTGGAGCTGCTCCAGGGGGGCTGCAGGAGGCAGCGAGGTTTTGGCAGGTGCCGTTCCCGGGGCTGGGGGGGGGTGTGTGCCACAAACAGGAATCAGAAGCCGGGTGTAAATCACGCGGAAAGGCATTTAATCTGCTCCATCATGACTCCTTTGGGCCACGGTCCGTGGGCCAGCTCTGGCCGTGCCCCTGTGGCGGCAGGGCCCGTGCCACGACACCAGTGGTGCAATGGCCAGGGCACCCTGGGGCTCAGAGCCGGGCAGATGGCTGGTCGTAGACATGGTGGGTGTTGTACCTCCCCACCGTCACCGCCTCCGGCTTGCTGAAGGTGCTGCCGCTGCTGCCACAGGTGTCCGAGCTGGGAAGGGAAGGGCGGGTGAGGGACAAGGGTGGGGGCCGTGGGGTGCTGGTGTCACCCTCTGACGCTGGTCCTGCGTGCCCAGCAACCACCCCGGCTCCTGCGCAGTGCAGTGGGACGCGGGGGTGGCACTCACCCCCTGAAGACCAGCATGGCCACCAGGCCAGCCAGCAGGATGGCAAAGAGGATGGAGAGGATGGTGGTGAGGGCGATCATGCCGGCGCTGTGCCCACTGCCCGTCACGGGAATGCTGCTGGGCTGCTGGGCTGGGGAGAGAGCAGGAGGGGAGGGAGCTGCACGTGTACCCCCAGGGCAGCGCGGGGGGCCCGGCCGGGGCACAGCATGTTCATGGGCAATCGCAGTGTGCAATGGCACCATGCAAACACGATGCACCATCATACGATGCCATCATACCCCAGCAGGACCCGCAGCAGCATCCTGCCTCAGTTTCCCTGCTGGTGCCCAGCGTGCAGCCCCCCAGGACCACCCCGCTCCCCTCCCCCCCAAACCCTGCAGCTGCAGGATGGGTGCGAGGGGCAGGACAAGCACCCCAGCAGCCATACCTGTCCTCAGGGGGATGGGTGCCGACCAGTTTGTCTCAGCCACAGGCTTGGAGCCTTCCAGGGCGAGGAACTTCACCCTGGGGTGGGAGCGGAGGTTGGCCATGCTCCCCCAAGCCGGGGGGCTGCTGTCAGACCCGGGGGGGGCACCTCCCCATGAGCAGGCTCACCGGTACGGCCCGGGGCCGGGCAGGGGGCCGTTGCAGGTGGGTCTCGACTCATCCCTGGTGCAGCTGGTCTCGCTGCCGACCCGCAGCACCGTGATCGCCCCGGAGGTGTTGGTGCAGGGGTAGTTGATGCGGGTGGTGTTGAGGGTCATGTAGGCAGGGGCGCTGGTGGGGAAGCGCTGGAAGGCGCGCTTGGGGGTCCCCGGTCCCACGCTGTTGTTGAAGTTGTCTATGGCTGTGGGGAGGGGGGTGAGGAGGGACCCCAAGGTTGCGGGGACCCCTGCGCACACCCCGGTCCGGGGCTGCTCCCTCGGGGCCTCGCCACACCCCACCTACCTTCGGGGACAGCCACCACCAGCCAGATGACGATGTTGTCTTCCACATTGGTGAAGATGCAGCGGGGCTGCTCCAGCACGAAGGTGGAGGTGGTCGTCAGGCCCCCCAGGGTGGATCTGGCCAGGGTCGGGGTGTAATCGAGCTTTTCTGTGGTGAGAAGCCAAGGGGGGTGCAGCGGAGGGTGCAGACACCCCGCTGCAGCCCCACACCGGTGGCTCCGACCAGCGGCAGCAGTTGCTGGGGACTCGGTGTGGGGACGGGGACAGGAGGGAGCTGCCCTCGGCGATCCCAGCTGCGGGGTCCCTGCTCCCCTCCTGCCCCCCGCTTTGGGCTCAGACATGTTTCACAAAAAGAGGAAGCAAAGACACTCCCGTGCCACCACCCAAGGAGGGAGACCCCTGCGAGACCCCAGAGGACCCCACGCTGTTCCAGCAGACCCAGGAAGGTGACACCAAGGACACTAGGGGTGGCACCCAGAATGGGGGGGCATCAGCTGCCCTGTGCCTCCAGGCTCCGAGGGGGGTCCCAGTGCCTGTGCAGAGGGGAACCCTGCGAGCAGGGGACAGCGGGGACCCCCACCCAGCCCAATGGCGTTAGCGGACTCACCCAGGCCGTGGGCCGACCCCAGGAGCAGGAGGAGCAGCGGGAGCATCGTGTGGGCGCCTGGGTGCCGAGGGTGGGAGTGCGGGCAGCCCAGCCCCGTGGCCCTGTGGGGACCCACCTGCGGCTGCCAACCGCCCACATTCCTGCGCTGGCCACGGCCCAGCAGCAAACAGGTCGGGCTCGTTTCCCTGCGGAGCATTTGCTATGCCCAAGCAGCCGCTGTGAGGCGTGCTGAGAACTGCCACGCTTGTGGCACGGGTAGGCAACAGCCTTCATCCAGGCAATGGGGCAGAGAGTGCCACCCCAGGGTGGGGTGATGCCCACCCGCAGACCCCACCAGTGACAGTGCATGCCCCCCCCCCAGCACCAAATAGCCACCAAGCTGAGGTCCCTGCTGGTTTTTGGGGGTCCCGGTGCCCCCCTCCTCCACAGCTCCAGCCCTGCGGGGCCGACAGCGGGGCCCTGAGCACCGAGGTGGTGTGGGAGCCGGGTGGCAGGCAGAGGGCGGGCATCGTCCCACGGCCGGGCAAGGAGGAGGCAGTGGAAGATGTAAAATGAGAGTTTACTCAGCAGGACAGGGACCAGGAGGCTGGGGGGTGAAGCAGCCCAGCCCCGGGGGGCTGCACCTGCAGCCGGGGGGACGGGGCTGGGGCAGGGCCGGGGGGATGTGGTGGGTCCTGTAGGCCCTGCGGGTGCAGGCGCCGGTCCCCGAATCCCGGTGGCACAGGGACCCCCACGCCTCGGCGCTGCAGGGAGAGACAAGCAGAGGCATCAAGCAGGGGCCAAGGGGCTCTGCTGGCCCCCCTCCCCGATCAACCACCGCCAAGGGGCCCTTTCTCTTTGCCAAACTACAGCAAACCCCCGATTTAAGAAAAAAAAAAAGGCTTTTTAAGTCTTAAAAACATCTCCTTCACTCCATCTCTTTGCTGATGGGGCTGCGGAGGGGGTGTTCTCCCAGGGGCCCCACAGACGCGTCCCCCCCGAGCATGGCGCCATGCATCCCCCCGTACCCCACGGCGCTGAGCACTGCTGCAGCCAGCACGGCCCCCAAGCTGGCGAGGATGGCGGCGATGATGACCACATTGCTGCCGCAGCGCGTGGGTGCGGGGTCGATGGTGCTCAGGCTGCCGGCTGGAAGGGGGTAGGGGGGACAGGGGGGCTCAGGGATGGAGGGATGGGAAGGGGAGGGAGAGTGTGGCTGGGGGAGTTGGGGGACTGCTTCTCCCCTCTGGGTTTTGGGGTGATGGCGTAGGGCTGATGCCACACCGCATGCTGGCCCCCCAACCAGCACGGGGGAGCCGTGGGGGGATGGCAGTGCCACCGGTACCTCTCCGCAGCAGGATGGGGTCAGACCACCTCGTCTCCGCCTTGGGGCCGTGGCAGCCCATCACCAGGAACTTCACCCTGTGGGATGGGTACAGCGGTGACAGTGGGGGGGATGAGCACAGCCTCCCCGGGGGGGTGCCTCAGCCAGATCCTAGGGGGGGTCCATCCTGCCAACCTCACCTGTAGGGCCCCGGGGAGGGCAGGGGCCCATTGCAGGGGTCCCGGTTGCCCTGGCCCCCGCATGCCGTGTCACCCCCAACCCGCAGGACAGCCGGGCTCGGTGCTGAGCAG